ATATGTTGATAAAGAACAATGTGACTACAATTCATATTTGTTGCATTTCTTTATACATAAAAATTCTTAATATTTGATAATAACAAAGAAACTCAATGTCACACATTCTTTCATTCAATTCTTGATATTAATTTACATTCGATTCCTACAATAAAAATTATATCAGTTATAATACAAAGTGATAATAAGATATTGCTGTAACCCGGTTTAGGCATGATACCGATTTTAATAAAAAGCGCCGCGCCAGTTAAGTGGAATCAGAGGCGAGCGGTGGCGCACGGCGGTGGTCTCTCTCTCTCTCTCTCTCTGTCTGGTGGGCTCCCGCTCTCACAGCATCGCTTCAGGGAAAGATCACCTCTGAAATCTTCACTTTCCAAACATAATTTCCGAGTAAGAGCGCGCGTGTGGTGAATGAGGAAAAGCCAGAGTTGGAAGAGCAGGAAAATGTCAATAAGGGCCCTGGCTCAGGCGGGCTCGAAAGGGGGCTGCTGACTCTCCGCACAAGTGACTCGCTTTTGAAGAGCAGCTTGTTGGAGGCGAGCTTCTGCCTCACATCAGCTTTTTCAAACTCTCATTGGGAGACAGGCTGCTCGGGAACTTGGAAAAAGACCGACTCATATCATTTGTTAACCCTTTCGGGGACGACGGTCGCTACAGTGGACAGCTTATCATGTTATCAGGTTACAGGTTATTATGATTGGTGCATGAAAGGGTTAAACCACAGTAGAAGAAAAAAAATACTGCGTATTTGAAGTTAAAAAGGAAAACCAAGACAGTCACAGAGGTCCAAAGACGGTGGAGCCGGTGTTTATTTTGAAATTGCCCAAATCCTCGCAATTTCAGCCTCCTCGCAGCAAATCTGCTCATATTTCTGTAGTCCTCCGTGAAGGCATCTTTGTATTGACTCAAAATGAAACATTTGCAAGCATCTGCTTTGACTTTGAAAAACACTTTCACATTTTTTTTTTTTTTTACATGCTAAGTACCAATCCGGTAACCGAATCCTAAATCATTTATGCTGGGGCTCTCTCAAGTTTGATACAATGTCCTCTTTTTTTTTTTTAGAAAAGGAATGGAAATGAACACTTTTGTTGTTCTTCATCCGATTCATCAATGAATCGATAAAATGAATTGACACAAAAATAATTGTCCACTGCATCCTGAGAGAATAACGCTCGCGATTAGGGTGATGATGTCCAAAAATTATCGTTTTAAAATCTCCCATAAGTCACCCACATTTACATGCATGGATTGCCGGGATTTTGTGGTCGGTATATGTCTGTCTGCTATGTCTGGCTCCCAGTTCTGAGGTTTTGGGTTTAATGTGCACGCATGTTTTGCCGCTGCTTTCTCCTCTACTCTGGCTTCCTTCCACGTTCCAAAAAAAAAAAAAAAAAAAATGTGCATGTTAAGATCATTTGGTTGGAACCGGTTAAGAGTATGGCCATGTTCTGCGGGCCAGTAGGGAAAGTTGTCATTGTTTAACCCGGCGGTCCCCAACCCCCAGGCCGCGGACCAGTACCGGTCAGTGGGTCATTTGGCCGCACAGAAAGAATAAATAACTTACATTACTTCCGTTTTATTCATTTCGGACACGAAAAGATGTTTTGTTTTGAAAAATTACTGGATTCTCTGTTACATCCAATCTACAGCAGGGGTGCCCGTTACATCGATCGCGTTTGACCAGTAGATTGCGGACTGGTCCCAAGTCGATCCGAGGGGTGTAGAGGGGGAAAAAAATCAAACATTTGTGTCTCTGTGCATGTTCGTAATATATTTTTTGTGTTAATGCACACTGCACCCTAATCATTCTATCAGTCTCCCTTTCTCAAAAAGTATTTGAAAAGGAAAATCAAATAAAGCAGGTCATCTTTAACCTACAGTGACGTGTGACTGCGTCAATGGAAGTTGTTAGCGCTCAGCAGTCTGCAATTGTAAGCTCGTGATCAGAGCTGTTGCGCGATATCTTCTATCGTTATCATTATTCTCATTCAGAGTTTACTTTGTACAATTGACCTAGGGGATGGGCAAAGAATGGGAATCTGGAGGGCCGAGAGAAGCATTTTAAAACGGTACATGTGAGCTACGATAGTTAACAGGCTGCCTTAGTGCACCGCATGCCTCAGCATCAGGCTGTTGCTCATCATGGCATGCATGTGTACGTGCGTGCGTGCGCGGTAACAGGTCGATCGCGGGAGGTTGGTTGATCAAAAAGTAGATCTTCGGTCAAAAACAGTGTATATATATATATATACATATACATACACACACACACACTATAATTATGTATACAGTATTGACTTGTATATATGATAAATATAAACCTATAGGTCTATGAATAAATAGCTTACAAGAAAGGGACATGACTTGATATATGACAAAATGGTTCTTCCAGTCCGTTCTCATATGCACATCTGTTTGATTATATTTGAGTATGAGATAGATGTGCTTGTTTATTTTTCAACTTTTTTTTTTCAATTTTAACATTAAGAAGTGAACTTCTTTTGTTTATTATAAATGACCTGTACATTCTCAACTGTACAGCATCATGTGACGATGACATGAATCATTAAACAAACAAACATAACATTACATCTTACAAGTAACAAAAGAGGGAATAAATAAAGTGATGCATGTACTAGTTTCTGGGATAATGATGTATCAACTGAAGAAAGATGATCTGACTCTGAATAATCCTTACCTTTCAATTTGTGACAGGAATTTAGTCTCAAAGATGCCCCAGGTCTTGAGCCGCTCCGACACTTTCCCTCGAAACAGTAAACCCCTTGCAGTGAACTCCATTAGCACATGTCTCACAATCTCTCCAAGGTACATGCCACTGATCATCTTCTCATACCTTGAAGGAGGAAAATTACATTGGCTTGGCCGCATGAGGAACATTTGACTTTTTCTTGAATTGGGGCGGTATTGGTGAGAAAATTAAACAATCATGTTTTTGAATGTAACAATCAGACTTTCACATGAATTTCATGAATAAACAAAATCCATTTGATCCAAAATTATGGGACAATGAGTCAATCACCCTTTGTGTACATTACCTCTGTTTTCCAGGATTGCTTGAGGAGGCATCAACACTACGATCGAAGGTTGTGAGGAAATCATCCAGTTCGCCATTTTCACCAAATGCTCCCCATTCCAAGTTGACACACATGCGTCCGTCATCATCAGCAACCATTTCTATATTCCGCATCTCCTCCATGTAGCAGGTATTTGTCCCTGTGCCTAAATTATAGATAGGCAATGCACTTAACTACTCAAAAACAATACTAAAGGGGGAAATACGGAAGATGCTCAACCAAATAATTTCCATACAAATTCTCTTTTTTTTTTTTATTCCAAGAAAGAAATCTTCAATAATGGTAGGAGATGACACTTACCAACAATGAGTCCCACCTCACACTGAGGGTCCTCATAACCACAAGTCATCATGGTTCCTACTGTATCATTAACTACTGCCACAAAGCTCAAGTCAAATTCCTGCAAGCAGTGACAACTTTAATAAAAGAGGGTTACTAACTGAAGGCAAACAACATTAATTGGTTGTGCTCTCGGCGGCACAGTGATCAACTCATAGTGCAGAGGTGCAGGGTTCGATTCCGGCTCCGGCCTTCCTGTGTGGAGTTTGCATGTACTGCCCGCGCCTGCGTGGGTTTTCTCCGGGTGCTCCGGTTTCCGCCCATGTTGCAGTACCCGGAGAAAACCCACGCCGACAAGGGGAGAACATGT